GGAGGAGGAGGAGGAGGAGGAGGAGGAGGAGGGCCGGAGAGGGGGGAGGCATCGGCGGCGAGCTTGGGGGGAGGGGGGGAGTGAGACGGAGGAGGCCTTCTCCGAAGGCGGCGGGGCTTCTCAGGAGCCCTCGCGCCTTCGGAGGAGCTTTCTGACGAGCGAACAACTCACACCCATACCCATAGGAGGGTCGAGAGGAGGGGGACTGGCTATGGGTATGGGTGTGATTGTCGGACCCGGGGGGAGGCTCCCGTTCGAGCGGGGACCCCCATCCGACAGCACGCACCCGTAGCCTCCTCCGTCCCCCCTATGGGTATGGGTGCGTGTTGTTCGATCGTCGTTCCTGTGGCCCCTCGGGGCCCTCACCGGGCCTCGGGATCGTCAGGCAACGGCGCGGGATGAGAGGTCGGGGCCCGCCGCGTCTCGGCTAGCTCGAGCCGCGGGCTGTCTGGGGGGCGTCCGAGCGGGGCAGCCACAGGGGGGGCGTCCAAGAGCGGGGTGGCGTCCAAGAGGGGGCGCCCGAGAGGGAGTGGGGGGAGGCTTTCGTTGGTTCGTTGGGGTTTTCTCGCCTCGGGATGCCTTCCAGCAGCTGCGCCTCGCCGAGCGCGTTCGATTGTCCTGGACGACCGCCTGAGACCCGAGCCGTGACTCGAATGTCAGGGGGCAATTATGTGGGGGGACAGGCTCAGGGGGCAACGCATCGATCCCCTCTCGCCCATTCATCGCCGATGCGGGCCTGATAGCCCACTCCGCCCAGGAACGGGCGTCTTCGTAATCGGGAGCTCGTCGCCGATCCATCGGAGACGTATCGCCGATTCCAGGTCGATGCTTCGTCCTAGCGTTCGCTCTCACACTTCTCTCGTGGCGACGCAATCAGGAGTGGAGGTTTGCTTTGCCGTTTCCTGGCTGGAGGCCCTCGCTGGGCTCCAGGACCGTCAAGAGGAGGGTCTGGATGGAAGACCGTTCCCCGTGAAGGGGTCCAGACCTCCTGGGGTCCATGTTGTGAGCAAGCGTCTCGGCGCCGGAGATCTGGGTTTCTCCTGGCTTTGGAGGGCAAAGTCTAACTGTTGCCAGAAGACCAATGTCTCGGGCCTGTGCTAAGCACTGTTCGCACTTTTTAGCCACAAGCCTCTGTAGGTACATTGGGCGTCGTTGCGTATTTGTAGACACATGTGGGGTCGGATACGTCTGCAGACAACGCGGCCGTTGCGCTCGGAGCAGCACAGAGTCGGAGACAGGATAGATCCGTGAGCGGCATGCTCCTGTTCCAGGTCAGGAGGCCACACATAAGACCTTACTATTAAACACATTAAAGTAAGAGGTATCACATATGCACATATATGTATTTATGTGTATATGTATATGTATTTAAGGTTTATATGTGTATATCATACGAACATAGATTAAACCTTCTCACAGCGTCAATCTCCAGAGGTCTGGACCCCTTCCCCCGGACCCGGTGTTTTTCATCCCGAGTCGCTTCCTGAAGGTCCCGAGGCGCGGCAGGGGCCCCCGCGGAGGCCGAAGACATCGACAAACCTCCCGTCGTGTTTTTTTCGCAGCGCTGTGAAGAGCAGCCTCGGCGCCAGAGATCTGGGCTCCCCTTGGCTTCCTCCTCCTCCTCCTCCTCCTCCTTCTCTCCTCCTCCTCCCCCTCCTCCTTCTCCTCCTCTCCCCCTCCTCCTTCTCCTCCTCCTCCTCCTCCTTTTCCTCCTTCTCCTCCTCCTCCTCCTCCTCCTCCTCCTCCTCCTCCTCGCCGCTGCCTCTGCCGCTGCCGCTGCCGCTGCCGCTGCCGCTGCCGCTGCCGACGCCAGCCACCGTCGGCGGCGGCACAGCCCCCCCTCCTGGGGAATGGGGAGGAGGAGGAAGGAGGTAGGAACATGATGCTGCTGATGATGCTGCTGATGATGATGATGATGCTGATGATGATGATGAGGAGGAGGAGGAGGAGGAGGAGGAGGAGGAGGAGGAGGAGGAGGAGGAGGAGTGAGGACCAGTGTAAACCCAAGAGTCATCAACGCTGTTGGAATCAACCCTCCCTTCGAGCTTTCTCTTCACATGCGTCTACATCTGTTCAGTTCCACTGAGGGAGTTGCCTCGTTGGAAGACAACCGTGTGAAGACCCTGACGCACTCCAAAACATGGTTCTCGGGATTCCAGCGCCACGGATCAACCTTACTGTTGCGTCTTGACGAGCCTGAATCGTGGCAGACCGCCGTTCTTGGGACTTCAAAACCGCGAACCAACGTAATTCTTGCACCCTCAAAACTTCAATCTTTCCAAAACACAATTTCTGGTACGCCGATCATGGGAACCCGTGGAACTCTTGCATACAAAATGCGTGCGGCGCTAGGGCGAGAACCACACTTTGAAACGGAACCGCCCTCAACCCGTGAAACTCTGGCAAATTATCAAAACGAATGTACGCGACGCTAAGGCGAGAGCCACATTTTGAAAACGAACCGCCTTCAATCCGTGAAACCCGTGCAAATTGTTAAGACGAATGTGCGCGGCGCTAAGGCGAGATCCACACTTTGAAAACGAGCTGACGTCAGTCCGTGACCCTCTTGCTTTTATCATGATCGAAGACGAATATGCGCGGCGCTAAGGCAAGAGTCGCATTTTGAGAACAACCCGCCCTCAATCCGTGGATCTCCTGCAACGTTTCAAAACGAATTTGCGCGGCGCTAATGCGAGAGCCACATTTTGAAAACCACCCGCCCTTCATCTTTGAAACTATTACCGCTTTTTAAGCTTCAGGGTCATAAATGGCGAGGGAAGCTCAGGCGAAACGCCCGGCCCGCCCTAACAACTTGCCTCGGGGTGCGACAGGGAGGAAGTACATAGCACCCCGCAGATGCGGATAAGAGTGAGTGGGCGGTGGGGACGTCGGCAGTTTGCGAGACTCTGGAGAAGCCCGCCGCAGGCGCCAAAGTTTCACAAATTATGCAACGAGCCCGCCGCAGGCGCCGATTATTCGTTAAACCAATGTGGGTAGGTCGCGGGTGGGTCGCAAATGGGTCGCGGGTGGGTCGCTATTGGGTCGCGGGTGTAGAGGGCAGAATCTCCACCCCATAACTTATCACCAAGACAAGCGAGGCCGTTTAGTAAACGCACACAAGGAATGAATTGAACCGGGCAGGACTGTGGGTCGCGGGTGGGTCGCGGGTGGGTCGCGGGGTGGGTCGCGGGTGGTTCGCGGATGGGTCGCGAGGTGGGTCGCGGGTGGGTCGCGGGGTGGGTCGCGAGGTGGGTCGCGGGGTGGGTCGCGGGGCGGGTCGCGGGGTGGGTCGCGGGGTGGGTCGCGGGGTGGGTCGCGGGTTGGTCGCGGGTGGGTCGCGGGTGGGACGACGACAACAACAACACCAACAACATCACAACCACCAGTAACAACAACACCACCACCAACAACAACAACCACAACAGCACCACTGGCAACAACACCAACAACAACACCAACAACACCAACAACGGCAACAACACCGCCACCAACAACACCACCACCACCAACAGCAACAACACTAGCAATAGCAATGACAATAACAACTCCACCACCACCAGCAACAACAACACCACCAGTAACAACAACAACAGCAGCAGCAGCAGCAGCATAAGCAACAACAACAACGCAACAAGCAGAAATCTCACCACGAAATCCTTATTCAGCCACGCACCCAGGGACAAGGAATGACCGTTCGGCCCCCTCACTCTGATTTGTAAGGAAAAGGAATGAAGGAGGAGGAGGAGGAGGAGGAGGAGGAGGAGGAGGAGGAGGAGGAGGAGGAGGAGGAGGAGGAGGAGGAGGAGGAGGAGGAGGAGGAGGAGGAGGAGGACGAGGAGGACGAGGGGGCGGGGGAGGGGGAGGGGGAGGAAGGGGAGGCCGGAGGGGGAGTGGGAGGAAGGAATATTTTGGACGAGGGGGAGGGTCTCCCGCCGTTGCCCCTGCTGCACTGCCTCCCCGCTGCCGCCTGCCTCGCTGCTGCCGCTGCCGGCCGGCGGCGGCGGGCAGCTCCAGCAGGCCATCGCCGCAGCGCAGGGCGAGCGCAGCAGCGTGGCAGGCTCCCGTCTGCGGGGGGGGGGGGGGGGGCGCGGGTGGCGGAGGCGACGGCGCGGCGCCTCGCCAGACGAGGGACAACGTATGGCATAAGCGTGCGGCGATCGGAACTCTGGGTGGCCAGCCACGCGCAGAGGGGGGGGGGGGGAGCGGGGTGGGCTTCTTAGAAGCACCCCTGCTTCTTAGAAGGCGCGGGCCTTATCTACAGATGCAAGCCCGGCGTCTTCTAAGAAAGAAGCCTTCCCCCCTCCCCCCACCCGCTTGTGCGCGCCGCCAAGGAACGTGTCGCGCCGCCAGTTCTGGCCCACCACGCTTCGGAGCGACACGCTATCCATTTCCCGGCCCCCTCGCGCCAACGGCCAGAGCCATTCTCGACCTCCCAGCCCCAGAATTATCATTATTATCATTATTATTACTATTATTATTATTATTATTATTATTAGTTTTTATTTTTATTATCATTATTATTATTATTAGTATTACTATTATTATTATTATTATTATTATTATTATTATTATTGTTGTTGTTTATGATTATTATCATTATCATTATTATTATTATTATTATTATTATTATTATTATTATTATTAATAATATTATTATTCATATTATTCATATATCTATAAATTATACATATGGTTTGCATATATATATATATATATATATATAACAAGTTTGTCTCGGCCTGTGGGGCCCGTTTTCGGTCCCCCCGACCTTCGAAAGCGGATCTGCGGCGAAGATTTGCACCCGATGGGCTCTGGGAGGTGTCCAGGGGGTGATTTTGAGCGGATCAGCTCTTACCTAACTTTTCTCGGGGCCCACCCAGATGAGACCCCCTGGCCGCCTCGAGGGTGAGAGGTGCTCGTGTCGGCGCAGCACCTCGCCAAACGAGGAACAACGAACGACATGAGCGCAAATTTTAGGAGGTCGCCTGGGCTCGAGGAGCAGCAGTATACTGAACCATACATTTTCGGAGGTCTGCGCGGATTTCTTGGGTCGACGCTGGCCCCTCTGGCGGCGCCACTGGCGCCACCCCTGGCGAGCTCCGCGCGCCAGGGAGAGGGTCCAACGCCGATTTATGAGATCCGCGGGGACCTCCGACAGTTATATTCAAGACGTTGTTTGTTCCTCGCGCCAGGGCGGGTCTGCTTCCGCTCTCCCCGATGAAGTTAAGACGATCAAGACGGACGACGAAAGCACCGTTGTGCACGCTGTCCTCGAATAGTGAGTCAAGCGGCATATTTGTATTTGTTCGGAGCTCCGCGCGTTTTTTTCTGGATCTGCGCTGGGCCCTCCTGGCGGCGCCTTCGGCGCCGCCTCTGGCGCGCTCCGCGCGCCAGGGAGGGAGTCCAGCGCCGATCCAAGAAGTCCGCGCGGAGCTCTGAAAGTTTGTGTTCATGCTTCTTTGGCCTCCTTCGCTGTGATCAGTGTCGGGCCAGCTGCGCCACTGGTAGGGCCCCCTCGTCGCCGCGGCCAGGCGCAGCTCGGAGACCTGTTGCGTTTGCACCTCTCGGGAGGGCTCCCGGACAGCTTTTGAGCTACTGCTGTCTCAGTTTGCCCCTCGCGGCCCCAGCCTGGCCGCTGAGGCCGGGGGCGCGGCGTCGGCAAGAGGCTCTGCTGGGCGTGTCGGCTCCTCCTCCCGCCTCCTCCTCGTCGTCCTCCTCCTCCTCTTCCTCCTCCTCCCGTGCCCTGCCGTGCGGCGTGCGGCGATCCAGCTAGAAGGATGCCGCAGAAAGGTAGGGTCTAGGGCTCCAGTCGTTGTTTTTTGCGTTGTTGCATGTCTCTGGAATCGTCGGGTCTCAGGAGTGCCGTGCCGTGCCGTGCCGTGCCGTGCCGTGCCGCTGTGCGCAGCAGGCGTCCTGCGCGTGCGCCTTCGTTCGCATCCCCGTCGCGTCTCGTCAGAGTCCACCTTTTGCCTGTCGTTCGGGGCTCCCGCGCAGGGTGGCCCGAGTTCTCGTGGAAAGGCCGGCCCCGCTGTGCCTCGAGCAAGACGACCTTCGCTTGCCGTCGTCTTCAGAGGGGGATCGGCGCCACCCCAACATTTTTATACTTATATAGCTGCGTCGCCCCCCCCCCCCCCCCCCGGGGGGGGGCGCGCACCGAGAAATCGTGCAGTATATATATATATATATATATATATATATATATATTTATATATGCGCCGTGGCGGGCGCTTTCTGGCCACACCGCTCGGGAAACGGTACAGTGGGGGCGCGCATCAAGAAACGATCTACTTTTCGTCAGGGTGCCCTGGGTTTCTTCGCTCCGCGCGCTGCGCGGTGGCTTCCCGCGGCCGTCAGAGGAGCTGCTGCGCTCCTGGTGCCCCGTGCTCTCCCTCAGGCGCACCGCGCGCGCGCGGGTTGTCAGGGCTGGGTTGCTGGCGAGGGCCTCCTGCGACCGCATCCGCACTGTGTGCTACAAGATGGTCCGACTACACGTTCGGGTCGGACGCGCGCCTCCAAGGAGAGCATACAGTCGCAGGCCTAGAGAGTGATACCAACACCAATTTCGGCGGTGTGCCTCCACCGAGGGAAGAAGATCCCGATCTCGGTGACGGTGGTAATATTCTGGCTTCCAGGGTGGCCGAACTATTACCACCAGCACCGACAATCTAGGATCATCTTCCCCCTGTGGAGGCAACCCTCTGTCTTGGTGTTGGTGCCAATTTCCAGGCCTCCAATACAGTACTAGTATGTCTCCGCGCGTCCCACGAGAGTGTTCCACGGTCTGCTGCCCCGAGGCCCGTGGGGACATGGGGAGCGTCGGCTGGCGCGCCGCGTCGCGGCGGCTCCGGCCGCCGCCTCCGCCCCGCGCGTCCCCTGCTCGGCCCGTCGCTCCTCCTTCTGCTCCCCTCTCTCTCCCTGCCTCCCTCCTCTCCCCCCTCCCCCCTCCTCGTCGCCAGCACGCGAGCAGCGACTCTCTGCCGTTTTTCCGTGTGCGGGGCTCGTTTCGGTCTCTGGCCAGGCGGCGTCATACGCGATGCCTTCGCACGTAACGGTTGCTTTGCTCAGACTGTCGGCGATTGTGCGGAAGTTTTGCCAGAATGGTACCCGTCCCTCCCTGCTGCCTCCTCTCCACCTGTCGATCTCGCCCGCCCTCTCTCTCTCCCTGCAGCCGAGCTGCCTCTCGGGCGAAAGAGAGGCGAGAGAAGGTCGGTGAGGCGGTGGAGTCGCCCGCACTCCGGCGCCGTGCCTCCCTGCCTGCCTCCCTCCTTTTCTCCGCCCCTCCCTCCCCCCCTCCTCAGCTCGAAGAAGAAAAAAACGCATAAACATAAACTTTCGGCGCTCCGCGCGGATTTCTTCGATCTGCGCTATGGCTTTGGCGGCGCCTCTGGCGCCGCCCCTGGTGCGCTCCGCGCGCCAGGGACGGGGGCCCAGCGCAACTCCAAGACATCCGTGCGGACCGTCGAACAAGTCCATGTTTATGTTTTTTTTTTCTTCCTCTATCAGTGGTCCTTAGTCGTTCATTCCATCCCTCCCTCTCTCCCTCCCTTTCTCTGCCCCTCCCTTCCCCTCTTCAGTCGCCCTCAGTCGTCCATTGCGTCTCTCTCTCCTTCCCTTTCTCCGCCCATCCCTCCTCCTCCTCAGGCGTTCTCAGTCGTCCATGCCGTCCCTCACTCCCTCCCTTTCTTTCGTAGGGCCTAGATCAGGTCACTTGTGGCCGGTATCCTGTTTTGTGGGTGAGTTCCTCCACGGCTTGCGCCGCCTCCTCGAGGGCAAGCGCTGCTGCTGTAGAAGAAGAAACTGGATCGCAGACGAAAGTCCTGGCTATGATAAGTGGTTCCCTCCCCTCCTGCCCCCCCTTCCGCTCAGCGCCCCTCGCGCACGCCGCCAGGGTCTGCCAGCTCCCTGTCCCTGTCAGTTTCGACGGCGCTCAAGAGCGAGGACGCCGCGGCGCGGCCATGGGGGGGGGGGATTCCAGCTGCCGTTTCGTCCCACTGTGTCCAGGCTCGTCCAGTCTGCCTCGTCCTCCCCGTCCTCCACCCGAGGCGCTCAAGGAAGGGCCCTGTCTTCGAGGAACGAAGAAGTCCTCGGCGGATGGCGGTGAAAGTAAGCATCGGCTTCCTAAGAGATGGCAGGGCTTTTTTGGTGCAGGGTTCTTTGAACCCGCCACCTGTCCCTTGTCGGCAGCTGGACGGCACGATCAGGAACGCCTGCTCAGCATGCCGCTGTGCCAATCCTGGTCCACAACGCTGCGGCGCGACGCGCTGCCACCGTCCCCGCTCCCGAGCGCCAACTGCCAGAGCTTTCCTCGGGTGCCCCCAAGCGGTGCGGTGACCACGCCGCACGCCGAGTCGGTGGGGATTCGGGGTCACCGCGCGGCCTGGAAACTCGGGTCGCGCTCCGAATCTGCTTGTGGGCGGCCGGGGCCCCCAGAGCCCCAAAGCCGTGCGGTGGCGGACCGCCCGGTGAGGTCCCCGGGGGGTCTCGGGCTCACCGCCGGGCCCGTCGCCGCGCCGTGCCAGGACGCGTGTGGCCTTCCGCGCTCCCCGCCCCGCGGAGCGGAGCGACGCGCCGCCCGCCTGCAGGGCGCAGCGTGTCGCCGGGCCGCTGCCGCGGCACGCTAAGGAGGAGGAGGAGGAGGGGGGGGAGGAGGAGGAGGAGGAGGAGGAGGAGGAGGAGGAGGAGGAGGAGGAGGAGGAGGAGGAGGAGGAGGAGGCGGAGGAGGAGGAGGAGGAGGAGGAGGAGGAGGAGGAGGAGGAGGAGGAACTCCCGACCGCGTGCGGTGGGGAGCCTGTGGCGCAGCGTGTCGCGCGGCCAGTGCTTGCCCAACACTCCTCGGCGCGGCGCTCTGTCCACAGCTCCGTCTCCCAGGCGCCGGCGTGCCGAGCCTCTCCGGGCCTCCCGCGCCGCGGAGCGGAGGGACACGCTATCCGCCCGCAGGGCACGGCGTGTCGCTTGGACTGCCGCCGCGGCACGCTGAGAAGCAGAAGTGTTCCCGACCGAATAGGTCGGCTGCGCGTAAGATTAGGTCGGGCCTGTCCCTCTACAGTAGGAATATCAAAAATAGCCAACAAATAGTCAGGGTCCGATTTCCTGAATATTTTTGACTGTTTCGGAATATTTTTTGAGTATTTTTTTCCGTCGATAATCGACCTGTAGGGGGACATGCCCGACCTAAGCGTAAGGGTGATCTTCCGCTGGAGTGGCCATTGGTGCTGGCACAAAGGGGTCCTGCCAGCACTGGCTGGCGCGTTCGGCTTGCTTCGATTTGGCCTCCCCGCGGCCCCCTGCAGCCGCGCACCACAGGTCACTTCTGCCCAGGGTCACCCTTAATGGAGGATGACGATTAATAAATGACCAGGGGTCGTGTTCACGCGGCGGAGCCAGGGATGACGATTAAAAAAACCGGCCGCGGGCTGGAACACTATTTTTGATTGTTCTCCTCCAGTCAAAAAATTATGCAGAAACAGCAGAGAACTATTTGTTTAAATCGTTCTCTCCCATTTTTAAAACTAACCGTCATCCCGCATTACGTGCAGCCGTCTAGGTGTCCTTGCCCTGCCTCGCGGCCGCGCTGCGACCCGTGCGCTTCGGAGGCCGCCCTGGGGGCATTGCGGTGCACGTCTCAGATCGACCCCCTCGGCCACGACCACGGCAGACCGCCTGTCAGGAGAAGCGTGATGTTTTCGGGCGTTGTCGGGATGCCTTCCAGCCGCTGCGCCCCGCCGAGAGCGTTCCATGGGGTGCCCGGATCTTCCCGCACGGCCGCCAGAGGCCCGAGGTGTGACCCGACAACCGCCAGGGGATCGGCGCAGGGGGAGGTGCATCGTCCCAGTCCTGGGCATCGCTCGGACGTGTGCATTCTTCCTTCGGCGAGGACCATCGAGGAGCATCCTTGATCATTCAGCGAAAAAGCCACGCACGAAACCAACAAAAAAAAACACAGGGAATGGACGTCCGAGCGATGGCGAGAGTCGCCCATTCATCGCCGACAGGGGCCTGATATCCCACCCCGCCCATGAACTTCCGGATTCGCTGTCGGGGGCCCATCGCCGACCGATCGGCGGCGTGCCGCCGATTGCAGGTCGATGTTTCCCTGCCGAGCTGGTCCCCCCTCGAGCGTTTCCTCCGAGCTGTGGCCCACTATCCTGGGGCACAGGGCCGTGCTCAGGCTCACCTCTGGCGGTTTTGCCGGTGAGCTCTTGCTTCGCCGCCTGGCGTGTGTCTGGTCTTCGTCCTCTTCCCTCTCCTGCGCGCTGGCCAGTTGGCTTTTGGGTTCCCCTGTTTAGCTTTCTCGCTGGTGCAGCCATTCTGCCTCGCCGCCGACGGAACAAGTGTCTGCTCTTCGTGTCCTCCTCCTCCTTTCCCCCTTCCTCGTGCTTCTCTTCAGAACGTGCTTGCATGCCTCCCAACATCGTATGGTTCCTGATGGGTAAATGTCGCCGACGAGCTCTGCGTCACCCTTGCTGGCTACAGCTGTGAGGCTGATGGCCGACGGCCATCGCCACCTCAAAGAGCAGTTACACTTGTGGAGGACGATCAATGGAGAGGAAGCATGCGGCCAAATAATTTCCAGATGTCTAAAAGACGTTTCAAAGATGCTTAGAACATGTAAAACACATGTTCGAAACATGTTTAGAAAATTTACACATTTTAGACGCACTTTCAGTTCAATGATCAGATTGTTAGAGTGTCCATTGTCATGGCATCCACATAGTTACACCCAGTTGAGTCTTGCTGGAGCGCCCTCCTGGCGCTCTTGTAATGACGAGTGGCCTCGCCAGCGCGGTCCTGGACGGCAAAATGAGGCCTGTCGTCAAGATGAGGTCCGATCCACTCGAGACCCATTCTCCCACCCCAGCTCGGGCCGGGATCGATAACAGACCACTTCTGTTGCCCGGCAGGGTTTACCCACAAGGGGGCCCTCACTTCTTTGTGCACATGGTATGGTGGCTGTTCCGTGCTTGCACCTGGCTCCTCCGTTCTCGGGGGGCGGGCCAGCGATCTTTCCCAACCATCCTGTGGTGTTGGGTCCTCGTTTTGAAGAGACGGTGGCCCGCGTCTCTCCTCCTTTCCTCCTCTCCCCCCTCCTCCCTCCTCCCTCCTCCCACCATCATCATCGTCATCACCATCATCGTCGTCATCATCACCGTCATCACCATCATCGCCATAATCCTCAGCGTCCCGCACACCCATTTTGGCACACCCCTCACACGTTTCGTGGCCCCATAGGGAGCTCCGCCGAAGGTCCCAGTGGGTGTGCCCGCATGCGTCCCGCACACCCATTTCGGCACACCCCTCACACGTTTCGTGGCCCCATAGGGGGCTCCACCGAAGGTCCCGGTGGGTGTGCCCGCATGCGTCCCGCACACCCATTTCGGCACACCCCTCACACGTTTCGTGGCCCCATGGGGAGCTCCACCGAAGGTCCCAGTGGGTGTGCCCGCATGCGTCCCGCACACCCATTTCGGCACATCCCTCACACGTTTCGTGGCCCCAGGGGGGGTTCCGCCGAAGGTCACAGTGGGTGTGCCCGCATGCGTCCCGCACGCCCATTTCGGCCCACCCCGCGCACGTTTCGTGGCCCCATAGGGAGCTCCACCGAAGGTCCCAGTCGGTGTGCCCGCAGGCGTCCCGCACACCCATTTCGGCACACCCCTCACACGTTTCGTGGCCCCATAGGGGGCTCCACCGAAGGTCCCAGTGGGTGTGCCCGCATGCGTCCCGCACGCCCATTTCGGCACACCCCTCACACGTTTCGCGGCCATAGGGAGCTCCACCGAAGGTCCCAGTGGGTGTGCCCGCATTCGTCCCGCACACCCATTTCGGCACATCCCTCACACGTTTCGTGGCCCCATCGGGAGCTCCACCGAAGGTCCCAGTGGGTGTGCCCGCATTCGTCCCGCACACCCATTTCGGCACATCCCTCACACGTTTCGTGGCCCCATGGGGAGCTCCAGCGAAGGTCCCAGTGGGTGTGCCCGCATGCGTCCCGCACACCCATTTCGGCACACCCCTCATACGTTTTGTGGCCCCATAGGGAGCTCCACCGAAGGTCTCAATGGGTGTGCCCGCATGCGTCCCGCACACCCATTTCGGCACACCCCTCACACGCTTCGTGGCCCCATAGGGAGCTCCACCGAAGGTCTCAGTGGGTGTGACCGCATGCGTCCCGCACGCCCATTTCGGCGCACCCCTCATACGTTTCGTGGCCCCATAGGGAGCTCCACCGAAGGTCCCCGTGGCGCAGTCCGCATGCGTCCCGCACACCCATTTCGGCACACCCCTCACACGTTTTGTGGCCCCTTAGGAGCTCCGCCGAAGGTCCCAGTGGCACAGTCCGCATGCGTCCCCGCCATTCATGTCGGCACACCCCTCACACATTCCGTGGCCCCATAGGAGCTCCGCCGAAGGTCCCAGTGGCACAGTCCGCATGCGTCCCGCACACCCATGTCGGTGCACCCTTCACACGTTTCGTGGCCCCATAGGGAACTCCACCGAAG